GGGCAGTTTCCGTAAACGTCCAAATCCTCTGAAAAAACTCTGGTGAGACTGCCAATTCCAGTTTGTGTTTAAGGCCCTCTATCTCGTCCTTTAGGTTTATAATCTCTATGTTAAGTCGTCGAATTCTTAAATTGAGAATCTTCATACAGTAGTTTTGTTGTATTTTCCTTGCCAACTGGCCTGTTTCTAATGCTTTTTGCTTTAAACATTTTGGGATAAGTTTACTCTGGCTACACCTAAGATTGAACCTAAGATGATTTCTGGCGTCTGCTAGTTTTCTTTTGATTTTCTCCAACCCGCGTGCCAAGACCAGGGCGTCTCTCCCAAAGTTGGCAACGATAAGTTTGTGTAAGCTCTCAGTCGTACAGGGATTAGTCAAAGCAAAGGAAGGTTTCTCACCCATCATCTGTACTTCTTAGCAAGTTTTCCCGACGTTTCGTCCTCAAACTAGCGGACTTCTTCAGGGAATGAATTCTCGGACCGCGCGTTGGAGATTTATAACCTATGGGTGTGGTAAGCCACACCCTAATCCTGATACTAACTCGTAAACAATCTCAGGTCTGCTTGATGTAGAAGGGAGCAGGTCTAACGACCCTGCTGAGGCTAACGACCCTAACTCCTTAGCATGTCACAGACCTATTGTCTGCTGGGATGCTCAAGTGGAGTGCAGGTTTCACCCCTCCTAACTCATTAGCATGTCACTGACCTTGTCCCAAGTTAGGGCGTTGTTTTTAGGATGTCGTCATAGATGCGAGGCAAAACAAATCTTAACCCTCCTCCTCTGTTAAGAGAAGGTTTTTGTTTCCTCACAAAAATGGCTTCTTTCACCCCTCTCTCAAACCAATTCTTCTCCCGAGCCAGAATTTTAACCTCTGTGTCATCCACCGTGTGGTTGGAGGCCTTGAGGTGGAGATGAACAGCCGACTGTGGCCCACTAGAGTTTTCTCTACGATGTTGGTAAAGTCGTTTCTGTAGAGTTTGTTTGGTTTCTCCAATATAGTGGTCAGTGCACTCCTCTTCACTACATTTAATTGAATACACCACATTGCTCTGTTTGTGTCTGGGTGTTTTGTCTTTGGGATGCACTAATTTCTGTCTTAACGTGTTGAAAGGTTTGAAATACACATACACTTGCTAAGAAGTACAGATGATGGGTGAGAAACCTTCCTTTGCTTTGACTAATCCCTGTACGACTGAGGGCTTACACAAACATTTCAAACACTCATTCAAAAGTAGTGTTTACTTTTGAATACACTGGAAACGGCTGCAAGTCCTAAGTGTCTCTGATTCATATTTTTCTTGCTTTTTTCTACCTGAGATGTTGCTGTAGTACGGTGTTCATGGTTTTACAGTGATCCAGACCGGAGTAGAGAGGATTCATGGTTCGAAACAAGCGGATCAGGTGAGAAACTACTGGGGGAATGTTAAATAAAAAATAAAAAAAATAAGTTAGCATTCCTTGAGACAGTAGGATTTAAAATGAAGTATAACATGCCATCATACTATCCCATTACCATCAATGCTGGAAGTTACTGTAATAAGTATTGAATTGAAAACCATTTCACGGGCCACAAATAATAGTCTTGCTGGCCGAAATTGGCCTTCGGGCCTGAGTTTGACCTGCCTGTTAAAGAGAGGCAAGTTGTGACCCTCAGAGGTAATACTGTTATATTCCCAGTTTGTGATGATGTTGTGGGAACAGCAGAGTGACAGGATTCTGGGCCTTTGAGGAGCACATGAGGCCTGTACATATCAGTGTGGGCCATTCCCGGTGTTCTGCCGAAAAGTGACGCTTATGTAATGCTCAGCTGTTAATGATGTAATGCAAACCTGCGCGCATGCGCGTCTCACGGCAGCCGAAACAAACCAAGATGGCGGACAGAAAGTCGGAGAATTGCTTTAAAAGTTATAATACGAAAGAAATAAGACACGAATGTCACTTTTAATGCAATTTGAGGCGAGATGTTGATGGTTCCGTGTAGCAACTCTACAGCTTTGTTTTCTCTTCACCGAAGCTGAAAACTCACGTGAGTATGGCTCTCCGTTACAAAGGGCATATATTTGTATTAGTATAACGTATTATAAAGTTTGCAACCGAGCGCGTTGACTTCACTGACCTCACTGACTCTACCAAATCCTATACAGAATATTATATTACTTTTTCAACTTTGTACCATACTCCTGGGTTCGAAATTACATTATGGGGATACATTTTACGTACACGCGTAACGTATGAATGAATACGCGGTCATAATCCCTCCCGAAATGTATTGATTTTCTAATATTTGCTCGTGGAGAGATGGTAACATTATGTACTCGTGAAGAAGAGATGATAAAGTCTGGGATCGCGTCTTTCATTCAGACAGAAGACATGCTTTATTGTCGATGGTAGAGACAGCAGAGATAGTCAAAACAAGTAGTGGAAAAGTACAGGCTTCTGCACATTGATAGAATGATGAGTTTAACTTTAACAACAGTTACTTAAAAGTGTTATGAAATCTCACACTAGTAAAAAAGATAAATTACGTTTCATTTATGTGTGTTGTTTCACATGGATGTAGCCTCATCACTAATCCTCTTCCATAGTATCTTATCTCTTGATATCTAATGGTGAAAGGAAGTCAATATTAATACAAAGTCAAAGATTTCCATCTTTTTTAAATTAGATATTTTTGTGTGGATGTTTGATCAGCTTTTAATTATTATCCACTTCCCCGTTTTCACATCTGCTTTTGATTGATACTGTTTTTTGACTCCTGCATTTCCACCTGACCACAATCTCTGTCTCCTCCCCTCTGATTTGTATGCCACACTGATTGATACACCGTTTTTTGACCCTTGCCTGTCCACCTGACCAAGATTTTGTCTTTCATAATCATAATGGAGGATAAATGGGATGAAATGTTTCTTCTCCTCACAGAGAAGATTTATCCTGTGGGAATGAATACATTTCAGACAGACAGAACTTGAGGAAGTACTCCCATAAATTTACTGCAAAGGGTAATAATGCATTTGCTATTATGGTTATACATGTCTTATTGTTCTTCTGTTGTTTTATTATAATTCAGTTGTTATAGATGTTGAGCTGTTCCATGACAAAAGAAGAGCCATTAAAACAAGACACGAGGCACAGAAACTATTTAAAAAAGTGTCATGCTACACCCACGGGAGGCCACACTGGCGTGAAAAAAACCTGCCATTTGTTCCAGGTTTTACTGGCGTGGCAGGACTGATGATTGACAATATGGTATGTTTTTTCCTTTTATTTGTCTGTACAATTCCCTTCCCTGTCTGTTCTTTTTAAGATTTATGAGTGTGACCAATGTCAACGTGAGGGAAAGTCTCTGGGTTCAGTTGCACCACTCCAAACAATAAAAGTAATTGTATTTATTGTTCCTATCCAACCAGCAGTGTACATTAATGCATTCAAATCCTGTTTGCTTGTTAGGTGTCTGCTGTTTGGGAGCTGTTGGGGCCCTTCCCCAAAACTACTGATGGCTATCAGTACATATTTACAGCCACGGATTATTTTTCAAAGTAGGTAGAGGCTTTCCCATTTAAAAACTAAGACGGCTGTGGAGGTTGGGCAAAGACTTTGCTTTATAATATACAGGGGTGCCCAAAATGTATCCTGTCTGATCAAGGGCGGGAATTTGTAAATGAAGTAAATATTGTTTGTGTACTTCTTGTTCATACTTTCTTATTCATTTTATTTTCATTGTTTCAGCTCAATGTTACTCTGTGTTCTCTGCTGGGCATTGAGAGAAGCGTCACCGCTGCGTACCACCCACAGACTGATGGATTGGACAAAAAGACCAACCACAACATAAAGAGGCAAGAAAATGTCCAACAAGGCTCAGTGATTCAGTTCGCTCCTTCACCACAAAACAAGGCCAGTAGAAAGACACAAACATATTATCATTTAAAAAGTACATTTTTAAATTGTCAGATGTTCATGTCTTTACTAAATCTTAACACTCAGTTCCCATAAATGTTTTTCTGCATAAAACAGTTTGTTTAAATAATCATCCTGCAGCAGTCACATGACGCATGTGTAAAAAAAGCCAGCATTGAGGAGCAAGGTTGTAATTGTACAAAGTTCTGACCTGATGGGTATTATTATGTTTTTCTCTAATGCAGGTCATTGATTCCGATCTACGTGTGCTGGTGAACAATGTAGAGGTGACATGTGTCCTTTACATTGGCTTGTTTCAGCAGAAACCTGTTCCCCAGCTCTCTGCTGTTGTGGGCACAAGCCTCTGTGCGTGGACAAATGAAACCACTTACAAAGGAAGTTCCAATTTCCGTGGGCCAAATATTCCTTGCATACCCATATGGTTACAAAGACAATAACACTTTTTGGTTCCACTTTTTTATAGATGAAATTTCCAGAAGAGGCTCACTGGATCTGCCCCATAAAGACTGGAGGCCACTGGGTGTTAGTGGTCGTCCTCATGGAGGATAAATCAGTATTGCTCATTGACCCCATGGGAAACGAGGCCTTTACAAAAGAAACATCCTCAAAAACTGGAGGTTTGTCCGATCTGAAAAGTTATCATGAGACTTGTTTTGTAACTGTTCATCTCACTTTAGGAAGTTTCTGAGGCAGGCGAATAGAGGCAGTGGTCAATGGACTGGGAGTGTGCTCAAGCACCAGCTACAAATTGACACCTCTAGTTGTGGCATTTTTATTTTAAAGGTGATTCTGTAATTATTTATTCTTCTTTGAAGGCATAGTGACATGTCCTATTAGCTGTATATATAGTTTGCCGAGGCATGGCTCCTCCAGGGCCATTTGGATGCTGTGTGCACAAACTACAACTTTATTGCTGCAGCGTGTCTGGAAGTGGCATGTACGCTGCTTCAGCGAGGAGGTTATTATCGTCCTTACTTTTGAAATGTTATACCTGGGTTAATCAACAAAACTGAGACTGAAACATTGTGTTTATTTGTAGGTGAAGATGACTACTGTGGTGTGTGTTGTTTCCACTTAAGTGGAGATGAAAAGGTATTTTCCTCTTATAACCCTACAGCATGTGTTTCTGGAATGACCAAAGTTTACTTATTTTGGATAGGTGCAGTGTTGTATGTGCGGCGACTTCACACATTTTGATTGCACCAACAAAAAAGCGCCTTTGGTAGCATGTAATAAATGTAATCAATAGAAAAAAGTGTTGGCCACACATGTCAGAGTAATTGTATTTTTATAAAATGTACCATGTTGCAACAGTGGTTTCTGGTCTTTGTTTTACCTTGTGCTTTTCAGAATCATAATTTTTGTTTTGCTCTACATCTGAGGCTATGGTGCAAAGTCCCTGGTTATCTATGCATTTATTTTTAATTACTATTCAAACAAGGGGTCTAAAATCAAAATATTGGAAAGTCAGAGGTAACAACATTTCAGAACACAACAGTGTGACAGCAAGATATACCTCTATCAATCTTGTGACATGTGGTTGTATACTACACAAATTATTGGGATTAGTAGTATTGGAAATGTGTATTTATAATTAAACTGTCCTCTGTTCATATGTAATGTGATGGTGTTTCTGTAGCTACATAAAAAATATAAAATTAATCGAATGTAACATGTGTAATCTTGTTATTCGGTATGGATACATTACAATACAATCGTTAATAATCCCATATCAACATGTTCAGACCAGTTGTAAGCTGCAGAGTTGCCACAGGACGCGTCATCAGCCTGCGTCCGCAGCCGAGGAATGCTATCATAACATTAGCTTTGTGGTTTCACAGGCAGAGTTGACTGCTTAAACTAAACTTTACCCGAAAGTTTGACTCTTAAAACCCACATGTGCCAACACGGAACCATCAACATCTCGCCTCAAATTGCATTAAAAGTGACATTCGTGTCTTATTTCGTTCGTATTATAACTTTTAAAGCAATTCTCCGACTTTCTGTCCGCCATCTTGGTTTGTTTCGGCTGCCGTGAGACGCGCATGCGCGCAGGTTTGCATTACATCATTAACAGCTGAGCATTACATAAGCGTCACTTTTTGGCAGAGCGTCACTTTTCGGCAGAACACCGGCTCAAAAGTGTCCAAAATGACGTGCGCTGACGTACTTGTAATACCACCCCGGGCCAATGGGGGTGGACCCGGAATAAGAATTAGCCAATGCTAACATATAGCATCTTCTTAGCTCTCGAAAACGTCTTTACAGGATGGTCCAAAAGAGGCTCTTGGACCAAAGCTCCGTTCCAAATGCTGTCGATTCTGAGGGGAGTGTGATTCTTCTAGTCTAGTCGCTGTGGACTTCAGAATGCACTCGTGTAAATGAATGGGGCTCGTGTCGTTGATGCATGCACCATTTTGAAGCTGCCCATGGACGGCAAAAGTGATGGCACATTAGTTTGAACGGCGGAGATAGGCGTTACTACGTCGTTAATATTTACAGTCTATGGTTCTGATGAACGATGGACTGTGGAGAAAACATAGATCAGAATCGCAGTCTACAGAAGTCAAAGTGGGATATTTCAATCATGTGCAGTATTCGCCACGTGACTCAAAATGAAAACATTGGGACGCTCCAACGGTAATCTTCACTGTCATCTGCGTCTTTATTGTCTAATCAGCCAATGACAGACTTCAAAGGAATATCAGAACTCATTTGGATTCATCACCGAAATGTTTTGCATGGAATGAATTCATACATTTGTGATTTGCATAAAAGTCCAAATCAACAGACGATTGGTTTGTGAGTCAGACAGTGCTGCAGAGGAGAGCGTAGGGTAGAGTAGAGTAGAGTAGAGTAGAGTAGAGTAGAGTAGAGTAGAGTAGAGTAGAGTAGAGTAGAGTAGAGTAGAGTAGAGTAGAGTAGAGTAGAGTGGAGTGGAGTAGGGAAGAGTAGAGTAGAGTACAGTAGAGAAGAGAAGAGAGTGGAGTAGGGAAGAGTAGAGTAGAGTACAGTAGAGAAGAGAAGAGAAGAGAAGAGTAGAGTAGAGTAGAGTAGAGTAGAGTAGAGTAGAGTAGAGTAGGGTAGAGTGGAGTGGAGTGGAGTGGAGTAGGGTAGGGAAGAGTAGAGTAGAGTACAGTAGAGAAGAGTAGAGTAGGGTAGAGTATAGTAGAGTAGAGTAGAGAAGGATAGGGTAGAGTAGAGTAGGGTAGGTAGAGTAGCGTAGGGTAGGGTAGAGTAGGGTAGAGTAGAGTAGAGTAGGGTAGAGTAGAGTAGAGTTTGTAGAGTAGAGTAGACTAGGGTAGAGTGGAGTATAGTAGAGTAGAGTAGAGTAGGGTAGAGTTAAGCAGGGTAGAGTTGAGTAGAGTAGAGTAGAATAGAGTAGGGTAGAGCAGAGTAGGGTAGGGTAGAGTATAGTAGAGTAGACTAGAGTAGGGTAGAGTAGAATAGGGTAGGGTAGAGTAGAGTTCAGTACAGTAGAGAAGAGTAGAGTAGGGTAGAGTATAGTAGAGTAGAGAAGGATAGGGTAGAGTAGAGTAGGGTAGGTAGAGTAGGGTAGGGGTAGAGTAGGATAGGTAGAATAGAGTAGAGTAGAGTAGGGTAGGTAGAGTAGAGTAGGGTAGGGTAGAGTAGGGTAGAGTAGAGTAGAGTAGGGTAGAGTAGAGTAGAGTAGACTAGGGTAGAATGGAGTATAGTAGAGTAGAGTAGAGTAGAGTAGGGTAGAGTAGAGTAGGGTAGAGTAGAGTAGGGTAGAGTATAGTAGAGTAGAGTAGGGTAGAGTTGAGTAGAGTAGGGTAGAGTGGAGTAAGGTAGAGTAGAGTAGAGTAGAATAGAGTAGGGTATAGTAGGATAGGGTAGAGTGGGGTAGAGTAGAGTAGAGTAGAGTAGGGTAGAGTGGAGTAAGGTAGAGTAGAGTAGAGTAGAATAGAGTAGGGTAGAGTAGAGTAGGGTAGAGTGGGGTAGAGAGTAGAGTAGTAGAGTAGGGTAGAGTGGAGGTAGAGTAGAGTAGTAGTAGAGTAGAGTAGGGTAGAGTAGAGTAGAGTAGGTAGGGTAGAGTAGAGTAGAGTAGGGTAGGTAGAGTAGAGTAGAGTAGGGTAGAGTAGAGTAGAGTAGGAGTAGAGTAGAGTAGGGTAGAGTAGGGTAGAGTAGAATAGAGTAGGGTAGAGTAGAGTAGGGTAGAGTGGGGTAGAGTAGAGTAGAGTAGGGCAGAGTAGAGTAGAATAGAGTAGGGTAGAGTAGAGTAGAATAGAGTAGGGTAGAGTAGAGTAGGGTAGGGTAGAGTAGAGTAGGGTAGAGTAGAGTAGGGTAGAGTAGTGTAGAGTAGAGTAGAGTAGAGTTTGTAGAGTAGAGTAGAGTAGAATAGAGTAGAGTAGGGTAGTGTAGAGTATAGTAGAGTAGAGTAGGATAGGCTAGAGTTGAGTAGAGTAGGGTAGAGTAGAGTAGAGTAGAATAGAGTAGGGTAGAGTAGAGTAGGGTAGAATAGAGTAGGGTAGAGTAGAGTAGGGTAGAGTAGATTAGAGTAGAGTAGAGTAGAGTTTGTAGAGTAGAGTAGAGTAGGGTAGTGTAGAGTAGAGTAGGGTAGAGTTGAGTAAAGTAGAATAGAGTAGGGTAGAGTAGAGTAGAGTAGAGTAGAGTAGAGTAGAGTAGGGTAGAGTAGAGTAGAGTAGGGTAGAGTATAGTAGAGTAGAGTAGGGTAGAGTTGAGTAGAGTAGGGTAGAGTGGAGTAAGGTAGAGTAGAGTAGAGTAGAGTAGAATAGAGTAGGGTATAGAAGGATAGGGTAGAGTGAGGTAGAGTAGAGTAGAGTAGAGTAGGGTAGAGTGGAGTAAGGTAGAGTAGAGTAGAGTAGAATAGAGTAGGGTAGAGTAGAGTAGGGTAGAGTGGGGTAGAGTAGAGTAGAGTAGGGTAGAGTGGAGTAGGGTAGAATAGAGTAGGGTAGAGTAAGGGTAGAGTAGAGTAGAGTAGGGCAGAGTAGAGTAGGGTAGAGTAGAGTATGGTAGAGTAGAGTAGGGTAGAGTAGAGTAGGGTAGAGTAAGGGTAGAGTAGAGTAGAGTAGGGTAGAGTGGAGTAGGGTAGAATAGAGTAGGGTAGAGTAAGGGTAGAGTAGAATAGAGTAGGGTAGAGTAGAGTAGGGTAGGGTAGAGTAGAGTAGGGTAGAGTAGAGTAGGGTAGAGTAGAGTAGAGTAGGGTAGAGTAGAGTAGAGTAGAGTAGAGTAGAGTAGTGTAGAGTAGAGTAGAATAGAGTAGAGTAGGGTAGTGTAGAGTATAGTAGAGTAGAGTAGGGTAGGGTAGAGTTGAGTAGAGTAGGGTAGGGTAGAGTAGAGTAGAATAAAGTAGGGTAGAGTAGAGTAGAATAGAGTAGGGTAGAGTAGAGTAGAGTAGGGTAGGGTAGAGTAGAGTAGGGTAGAGTAGATTAGAGTAGAGTAGAGTAGAGTAGAGTTTGTAGAGTAGAGTAGAGTAGGGTAGTGTAGAGTAGAGTAGGGTAGAGTTGAGTAAAGTAGAATAGAGTAGGGTAGAGTAGAGTAGAGTAGAGTAGGGTAGAGTATAGTAGAGTAGAGTAGGGTAGAGTTGAGTAGAGTAGGGTAGAGCAGAGTAGGGTAGAGTGGAGTAGAGTAGAATAGAGTAGAGTAGAGTAGAGTAGTGTAGAATAGAGTAGAGTAGAGTAGGGTAGTGTAGGGTAGAGTTGAGTAAAGTAGAATAGAGTAGGGTAGAGTAGAGTAGGGTATAGTAGAGTAGAGTAGAGTAGGGTAGAGTAGAGTAGGGTAGGGTAGAGTAGAGTAGGGTAGAACAGAGTAGAATAGAGTAGGGTAGAGTAGAGTAGGGTAGAGTGGAGTAGGGTAGAGTAGAGTAGGGTGGAGTAGAGTAGGGTAGAGTGGAGTAGTATAGAGTAGAGTAGGGTAGAGTAGAGTAGAGTAGGGTAGGGTAGGGTAGAGTAGGGTAGAGTAGATTAGAGTACAGTAGAGTAGAGTAGAGTAGGGTAGAGTGGGGTAGAGTAGAGTAGAGTAGAATAGAGTAGGGTAGAATAGAGTAGGGTAGGGTAGAGCAGAGTAGAATAGAGTAGAGTTGAGCACAAGGCTTTAAATGCCTCCTCCTGTCTGGTTGGAGACTTTGATCGGGTTCATTTTGATAAACACAGTTTGTTCTTCTGTTCATGTTCTTTCTGTCGCCAAATGCTTTTACAAAACAAATGAAGAAAGTTTGAGCGTGAAATGCAGTATTCTGATCCCGGCTCCAGTCGACCTAACCCGCTGATGTGAAGGCGGGACTAAAGGGCGGCTGGAGCCAGGGTACAATATTTTAGCAGAAATATAATTCAGAATCAGATATATTGAACAGCCATATTCAGTGAGCAGGAAATCGCAAACCAGGATTTTGGTGCAAAAACAAATACTAAGACATGCATAAACACCTATTTGTAAATAAGTAATATTAATTTATTCAGACATATAACAGTTATTAAATCATTTCATACAGAAATGTTGAAATGAGAGTCCAAGTCCTTTTGACGTGTATTTCAACCTTTTTCACTGAAGACAAACTGGCTGCAGGGCGTTTGAACTTTGACCTGGGAGTGTGTTGAGCACTAACAACAACTTGAACAAATAAAAACATGAAATGAAAGCACAATTTTCATCCGTGACCACCACCTGTCTCTGCACACGTAAATATATCCAATAATAGGCCAATAAACAGCCTCTATTCTCAGGTGCTTTCCACGTCCACCGCACTGTCATTAAGTGAGATTAGCCGGACGCATCTCGTGGGAAAAGTTGACGTTAGCTTTAGCCGAGCAGCATTCGTGTTTGGGCCTGGTCCGTGCAGGTGTGTGGCTGCTGTGACGGGGCAGGGGCTGGGGCAGGGGCTTGGGGACTTCAAAGGCCCCGTGTGCTGCTGCTGTTCTGGGGCCGCTGTCATGGGAGAAGGAGCCTGCAGCCTCAGGACGCCGGCCCAGAGGAGGCTCAGGGCGGTCAGAGCGGTCAGGGCATTCCAGAGCTGCACACAAAGCTCAGTGTGACCGGCACAGCTGAGGCGTGGAGCAGGGGAGGGAGGGGCGCCCCGGACGGTGACAGCGGAGAGAGGGATTCACCTCCGCTGGACCTCAGGGAGAGAGGGAAGAGGCAGCACGGTGATTTACAGAGGGCACTTTACAATCTTGACCTGACACAAACGCCATCAGCAAAAGTGAAAAGTAAAGTCTCCTGGAGGCCTCTTTACAAAATTGAAATAGTACTTTTCACTCTGATAGCTCATGATTGCAGAATGAGATAAAAATGTGTTTACAAAATATCAAAAAACCTGTGGAAACAACATGTCTCTGAATTGGACAAACACATATTTTATTTTTTACATTTTAGAACCAAATATCTGGTATCTGGCCCATCACATAAAAACACTTAAATGGTGAAGAAGACAATCAAAAATAAGAAAATGCAATAAAAATAATAATAAATGTATTGATTGTGGTCATGTCTGTGCAGCGTTCAGCTCCATCGCAGCAGAAGGGATGAATTACTTAAACATTTGGACTTAAGAAACATTACAAAACATCCTGTTGATCTGAGAAGAACACAGTGTTCATCGTGGTCACGGAAAGTAACCAGCATTTTTGTCTTTAGTTTGGTCTTAACCCTTTAGGCGCCGAAGCTTTTCAGAAATGTTTTGTGAAGGTTGAGCCCTGAAACGACCTAAGAGACAGACGAATGCTCAAAACAATGACAGAAATATGTGACTGGAAACTTTTGTGTTGAATGTTTTGAATTACTAATAAAGAGGGTGGAGGGTGGGAAGGTTTATTTTTATAGCACAGAAAGGCAACTCAAAGTGCTTAGCAAAACAAGATAGAAACAATACAAGGAAATCATAAATAATCACATTAAAAAGAGTACAGATACAATCCCGCAGTTGTATTAGACAGTTTTAGGCCAAGAATGCAGAACAACACAAAACTGCCCAGACACACACAGCTCAGTCCACCCTGCGCAGGTCTCTACAGCTGTCCGTCACAGCTGTACGTACACAAAGCATCATTATAGACAGTAATATTGCACAGGTCTGGGTCACTGCTCTGACCAGTTGCTGCGTATGCCCCAGTGTGTCCATATTAAAGTTGGACCCTCTTTGAAGTGCTGTCCCACCCAGAGGCGTCCCCCTCGGCCCGCACAATCCCCACATTCATCACTGGACCCGCCTCATCAAAGTGTGTCCACTCCGCAGCGGGAAACTCTACACTGTGTCCTCAGACAAACACTTAGCTCTCTGCCCCGGAGCCTCTGGGCTGGAAGAGTCTGCTGACCCCCCCTCACCCCCCAGAGCAGCGAGCACCACACCTAAAGCCCTCAGGTGACTGCCACTGCTGCATTCTCCGTGTTGTTTTACTGTGGGAAACGCTCAGTTAAGGACAATAAAGGGATTATGGTAATGACTATTAGTAATGTTTTGTTTTCTTCACTGACGCGAAGCCGTAAAAATCTCAATTCGAATTTCTGATCTGAATGGAATCAGTGCATTCCTCAGCTGTGTGGTTTTATCAAGTGTTTAAGTGCATCGCGTTACACTCTCTTGTGTTTGTTGTCACGATGTAATCCTTTGTATTGGCCTCACATGTCGAACTAAACTCTCCCACTTGAGGAAAACACTTAGTAGTCAGTGTTGTCCAGGAGAGGGGTCAGAGTCAGTCTGGAGCTCCTGCAGAGGACCACGAGGCTAAACAATTCTTCTGTTTTGATTTTTTCAGATATAAGACATGAAAGCAGTCTGTGAGGGTCTTGTTGTGTGACTGATGGGCTGTTGTGGTTGTCGACCTGACTGTACCACACACATACAACACAAACATGTCTCTCACAGCGGCCTGTGCTCATGTGACTTCTGTGTGGAAGTGACAACAATATTTAGACAAAGATTAGTCTAAGTGCTGCCCTCCTGTTGCTGCTACAGCGCTCCTCTGCTGTGAGGCCTGCCCTCTGGGTGGTAAGATCATTTGTCTTGTCCCGTGTGTGTGACCTGTTTACCCAGAACCTGCCAACTCTGATGTCAGCCGCGCAGGGTCCCAGGACAGGCTACAGTTTCTGTTTTGACACCTTTTCCTAATTACACATGTAAATGATGGATGGCCCTGAGTTGGCAGGAGGCTGAAGTCCCAGGGACATGATGCTCAGAGAGCTGCGGTTCTGCCAGCTCTGCGCCGCAAGGATGTGTGAAACTGAGACCTGCGCTGGGAGAGAGCCGCAGATAAAGTTCTGGACCTGGCTCGGTCCCATTAGCTCCTGCAGCAGAGAGTGGCACAGGTGCGCCTCATATCTGTGCTTCTTTGTCTGCTCTAATCCCACACAGTTCAGTGCAGGCTCACTGCCCACACCTTTAAGCCACAGACACCTCAGGGCCAGGCCCCTGAAAGGAGAACTCTGCCACTTCTGTCAAATGGGATTCGGCTAATTGATTCTGGAGTGGCCGGTCTGGAGCCTGGAGGAAGGTCCTGGAAGCAAAGGTGTTATTCTTTCATGTTTGAAGGATACAGGTGTGAAAGGAAGCTGGAAGAGGAGCTTCTCTGCTTCAGCTCAGACTCACACAGATGTGAAAAACCTGCCCCGGCCTCTGCAGCTCTGTGTGCAGCTCTGTGTGCAGCTCTGTGTGCAGCTCCGTGCACCTCTGTGTGCAGCTCTGTGTGCAGCTCTGTGTGCAGCTCTGTGTGCAGCTCTGTGCAGCTCAGTGTGCAGCTCTGTGCAGCTCTGTGTGCAGCTCTGTGCAGCTCTGTCAGGTGTGGAGTCGAGGCCACAGATTTAACCCCAATCTGGAGCTGCCGGGCCTGGCACACATGGGCCTGCAGCTGTGCTCCATTGATGTGAGCGGCTCCGCTGCAGGAGATAGATTGGACGGAAACGGCTTAATTGTTGCACTCTCACTGTTGGAATGCAGAGAGCCCGGTCCCGGCTCCGTGGAGCGACTCCGACTCCTCAGACACAGTTCAGACTCATTGGACTCTCGTCAGCTGCATCCTCTGCTTCAGGAGTTCTCAGGCCGAACGCAGACGACTGTTGTTGAAGGGAGTGGATAAAGAGCCGCTGTGTAAACACTGTGTGATGATGTGGGGATGAGCAGGATACTTGGTGTTTGATTTGAGTAAACAAGGATTCTTCACTAACCGTCATGCTCATGCAATATTTGTTTTATGTACACATTTAACGGCATCATCCTGAAAATAAAAAAATGAAACAAGAAGTCCATTTGATACGACTGCAGCTCGCTCTGCTCTGAGCTGTGTTTGCACCGAGTCAAAGTCCAACAAGAGAAAGAGAAAAGACCTCAGCGACTCCTGAACATGGACTGATCTGAAACACTCTTTTGGTTCTAGTTTAACAATCAAAGCATCTCCTGAGTCAGAGGTCAGACAGGTGAGACAGGTGAGACAGGAGAGGGAGAGACAGGGGAGACAGGAGAGGGAGAGACAGGAGAGGGAGAGACAGGTGAGACAGGAGAGGGAGAGACAGGAGAGGGAGAGACAGGAGAGGGAGAGACAGGTGAGGGAGAGACAGGTGAGGGAGAGACAGGAGAGGGAGAGACAGGTGAGGGAGAGACAGGTGAGGGAGAGACAGGTGAGGGAGAGACAGGAGAGGGAGAGACAGGAGAGGGAGAGACAGGTGAGGAAGAGACAGGAGAGACAGGTGAGGGAGAGACAAGTGAACGAGAGACAGCTGAGGGAGAGACAGATGACGGAGAGACAGATGAGGGAGAGTCAGGTGAGGGAGAGACAGGTGAGGGATAGTCAGGTGAGGGAGAGACAGGTGAGGGATAGTCAGGTGAGGGAGAGACAGGTGAGGGAGAGACAGATGAGGGAGAGACAGATGAGGGAGAGACAGGTGAGGGAGAGACAGGAGAGGGAGAGTCAGGTGAGGGAGAGACAGGTGAGGGAGAGACAGGTGAGGGAGAGACAGGTGAGGGAGAGACAGGTGAGGGAGAGACAGGAGAGGGAGAGTCAGGTGAGGGAGAGACAGGTGAGGGAGAGACAGGTGAGGGAGAGACAGGTGAGGGAGAGACAGGTGAGGGAGAGACAGGTGAGGGAGAGACAGGTGAGGGAGAGACAGGAGAGGGAGAGACAGGAGAGGGAGAGACAACACTGTTTTTGAGCCTCAAACTAGTGACATGATTTCTTATTTTAGAGCTACATCTTTAGTGGTGATTGAATTTCCCAACTTTAACCCGAATCATCCATCGAGATATTTATATTTATTGTTTATTTGGTTACATGTTCATGAACACATCCCTCTGGATTGTAGCCATGGGCTCATTTCCATCTGTTGTCCCACATTTGCACTCACCCTGAACTATTGTACATGTTTTTAGTGGTAGGGGAAACTGGAGTGCCCGGAGGAAACCTACGCGGACACGGGGAGAACATGCAAACTCCACTCAGAAAGGCCCTGTTCCAACCGGGATTCAAACCCAGAACCTTCTTGCTGAAAGGCGAGAGTGTGTAAACCACTCAGCCACCGTGCCGCCCAATCATCATAACATAAGAGCATAAACAACACCCCCCTCTGATTATTAGACTGCAATTATTATATAATAGTTGAATCTTCTTTGTTAGAACAGAACATTCCCATATTTGACCCATTTGCACAATTCATTTCAATTCAACATTACATAGTATCCCTCGAACCATTTGGCTTTTTTTGAGGTAGCTGACCCCTGGTCTTAGCGTTTATTATTTCTAAATATATTTAATTAGATCAACAAGAGATTGACGAGTGCATGCTGGGATTTACAGAAGGATGTTGGACTTCAGTGTTCTGTGAAATCTTTCAGTGCGATGCAACACTGAAAAGACACAGCTCCCTCTGAGGCGCTCTCTCTACAGGTATAAATGAAACGACCACATGTTGGCTGATCACTTGTTTCTCCAAACAAGCAGTAAAACAGCTGCAGCTCCAGTCCAGACTAGAACCAGGAAGTACCATCACATTGTGCCGCTTTTCCACAATAACGGCACGGCACGGCACGGCACGGCACAGCGGTTATTGTCCATTTCCACTAGAATTGGGCTTATGATCAGGGTGCTCTTTTCGTACCACCTCGACAGTGGTTCCAAACGTGCCGAAGCGACACCATAATGTGACGTCAGCCGACTGCCTTACACTGATTAATCAACAAGTGTTGTCACTGGAAGCGACGTCCGACCCTTTGGTAAAATCATGGATCTATAATAATAACGGGTAAAAACTAAGGGTGGACGATATGGCCTTAAATTCATACTGTGGTATAACACGGGTCACAGACGCTAAACGGTAGATACTGCGGTATAATTTGGTCTCGCAGGTTCTTGCATAAAATAGTCAAGATTGTTACTTATTTAAAATTTCAATTTTAGAGCTGGAAAATGTTTACTTATTTGATACTTTTAGCATTTCCTAGAGAGGGCGCCATCGAACCACCCATTTGTAAATTCCATTGTTGCAATAAACAATTTTTATAATTTATCGTTGTTGTACATTCGTAAATACAAACATAGTCAAGTCTTATTGAACACATTTATTTATTAGTTAAACAAGTAAAGGACAGTGAATTTAATCAAATATTTAACTGTGTGTTTGCCTTTAAACGCATCCGGACGCTAGCTGTGCGGCTACTGAAAGTTTTTTTTCCCGCCATTTCTAGTAATAAACCTTGATACATGTGAGCACAAATCAATCATATAATCTGTATATGACAAAACAAACAAAAAGTGTTATTTGACATGTGCAAACTGAACATCCGGATGAATCCAGCAGCCACCCTCCTCGTGGTTGTAGTCATCAGATTGCAAGCGTGTTGCAATCTGATGACATAATGACCTATCGCAATATGCCAGTATGACAAATATCTCTATCGTTGGCCAAATTTTTATTGCATACCGTTTATATCGCCCAGCCCAAAAACTCAACCCCGCCATCTTTAAAACCGGCTGCTCTGCTACAGAGATGGGGACTCGCGAGTCGGGCTTTTTCAACAAATACCTGCTGTTAGTCTGTCACTCGGTGTCCTGAAGAGGTTTTATAGGAGCCAGTTCTTTAGGGGGCAAGAAGAGTCCCCTGGAGGTAGTAGCAGCTGTCACCGAAATAATAATAGATCCATACACCCCACCAATGTTACAAGTTACGCGTCGCACGTAAACGCTGAGGAGATACTACTTTTAAGAGAAAAGCACCTGAGCACGGCCGTGCCGATCCGTGCCGTGCTGTGACTATAGAAAAGCGGCTTTAGTCCTGGTCTCAGGTCTCTGCTTCCTGTGGCTCAGAGAACAGACTAAAGCAGCTGTTTGTTACAAGTCTCTCCATGGACTCAAAGTACATCTGTGACATGTTAGAGCCATATGAACCAACTCTGAGGAGCACAGGGACTGGCCTCCTGCTGGGACTCTGAGGAGCACAGGGACTGGCCTCCTGCTGGGACTCTGAGGAGCACAGGGACTGGCCTCCTGCTGGGATTCTGAGGAGCACAGGGACTGGCCTCCTGCTGGGACTCTGAGGAGCACAGGGACTGGCCTCCTGCTGGGACTCTGAGGAGCACAGGGACTGGCCTCCTGCTGGGACTCTGATGAGCACAGGGACTGGCCT